GTCCTGTTTCTATCACTATCCTTCCAGCCTCGTCCACTCTCGTCGATCGATAGGGCCCGTCCTCCAGTCTCTTTCGGGTCCCTCCGATGGGCGGTCGGTATGCCGGTGGGAGGTCTCTGTCATCCCTTTCTCGTCGCGTTCCTTCCAATTCATCTTCTCTATCCCGCACAGTATGCTCCCCTCGAGCTCGCCCGCGGGTCATAACGGGGGGTCCCCCTCCGTGTGCCTCCCCTTCCGAAGAGGGGGCACGACTCCTGCCGCGGCTTCGTCTTCTGTTCTCCTCTCTTAGTCCCTGGACCGTTTGTTGTAGAGCCTTGATCTGGCCGTTCATAATCGTCCTTTCACGTTGCAGGGTGTATACTTCCTGGCGGAGCTTGACTATCTCCCTTTCTAGGGCCATATTAGCAGCCCTTATCTCATCCACCGGCCCTGTACTTTTTACTATTTCCGAGGTCAATCTTAGAACAGCCACTTTGGCCACATTTACTCCCACTTTAATATGGCGGCGTAAGTCCCCTTTCATAGACTGGGTCTTCCTTTCCGCCTCACCAGCTATCTCTAGTACCCGCAAGGTCTCCGCCATCACTGTCTTTGGAGACATCTGCGGGAACAGCATCGTGATTTCCTCAATAGCATCTTTCTGACCTGATGCAAGTTTGTCATCCAGATTACACTCTACTAGCCCTTTCCGCTTCTTTAGTCTGTGACCAGCCCTCTTCGTGACCTTAAGGAAGTCAACCCTGTCCAGTTCATCATCTTCGAAGTCCATCCGCTTTGACGAGAGCTTGGACAGGGCGTGTGTTCCCGGACAGTTGGATCCCTTCGGCTTCCGCCCTCTCTTTTCCCCTTCTTGGGGATCTGGTCGAAAGATGAGGACAGGTCCTCCTCCGAATCCTCGATGGAGATAGAGGGCACCGGGTCTCCTCCGGTACTCTCCTCCTGCTCCGTGTCAACAGCTATCACGCTGGACGCGTTTGATGCCATGTCGCCAGCGTCAGCTCCACCGCCGGAGCCGCTGAGGGCTGGTGTGCCGGCCGAGACGCTCTCCGCTATCGGGGAGTTTACTATCTCGCCCTCCACCACCCTGATTCTCGTTTCTCTCGGGTACCTGGTCGCTCCCGGTCTTCCTCTTCTCGGTAGCGGTGCTTCCCCTCTGGTCGAGTTCGGAATCCTTCCCGCCAGTCCTGCAACTGAAGTGCCCGCGGTGATTGATACTACATTCGTCCGCTCCAGTTGCAAACGCAGCTCTTTCCTCTTCGTCTTGGGCGTTGCTCCCATCCTTCCCTCTGCCTCCGCAGAAGTA